CACACATGTGCACACACAGAGGAAGGATATGAATAGAAACTGTTTCCTGTGCTGTGGTCAGCTGTGGTGCAGTCAAATCATGAAGAGATGGCAATAAGTGCCTGATAGAAAATAGTTCCAATATCACCAGGGCAGGCTTAGACTATTTACAATATCCTGTGTTTCAAATGTTTTTCCATAGTACTACCTTTTAAGTTTTTCAAGACTTCTCTCAAATATAGAAGTCTTCAGTTCCGCATTGGGTCTTCAGTTTTATCTTCAGTTGCAGTATTAAAATAACATGGAAGATAGAAGTGGAAAAACATTGGCAGGCCTGGTTCTCTGGGGATTGGGAGAACTGCCACTGATGGGCTGCAGCTGTCGTCACCTCAGTAGTCCACAGTGATATATATTAGGGACCAGGGTAAAAATAGCAAACCGAGCTTGTTCCCTCAGCAGCTATCCTTTTAGAGTTTACACCCCAGGACGATGTTATCTTCAGGAAATGTTTTATGTTTATTCTATTTTACTGAGCCATTATGTTCTTATTCTTATATTTTATTATTTACTATTGTGTATCCTGTACATAGGACTAATACAACTTGAAAGGATAGCTAGTTATCTATAGCAGTACTTAGCATCTCTGGAATGTTACGCTGCTTGAGGTGGTAGTTAGTACTTGTTATGTACTTCCCAGGACTAATGGATGAAAGACAAAGTGTAGAAATATGATACATTAGGCTACATAACACCACAAGTAATAGAGTTAAGAAATGAATCAATTACTGACTGAATGAATGAATCATACCATGATATCAGTATCTGTACAGAGCCATTTCTAAATTTCACACATTTTGGGAGTATATTCCATGCTGATCAACATCCCCCCACTTTAAATAAACCATGTTTTTTTTCAAACAGCAGTAGCAGCAGAGTACATCCGAGTCATTACTATTTAAAAGCACACAATTCTTACCACATTATACAGAGGTCACCAAGGGGTCACAGAGAAATCCATATCCCATGACCCCCCCCCCTCCCCAGTCAGCAGACCTGAGCTCCAGGTACGCAAACACAACACACATCTCATTTCCTGGAAACTTCGCTTCTATTGTGTGTCTGCTTTCAGGGAAGGGAAATGTGAAAAACCCATTATTAAGAGCAACCAAATGGATTATAATGACATGGTTACTGAATCACAATGCGGTCCGATTAACATTGGGAGGCCGTCTTGGGTTCATTGTGACACATGCTAGATACACTAGTCCATTAGATTCCCCAGCGCCTCAGGCAGTTCTGCTCACCTCCTAGCCCTGCACCCAAATCACATACTATCAATGCTCATTGCTGAGGCCTCCATTTTACAAAGCAGAACGATGCAGGCAACTTTGATGTTCTGACAAGATGCATTTTTCATAAATGGGGTGATCCTCTATTCAGAGACATTCATCAGATAAGAGCATCACTAGGGACATATATTTTTTTGTATATCACAAAGGAATACAAATGTAATATTCAGGTCATTGAGACCCAACTAAATTCCATTCTGACACACGCTGTACCTAGTATATAGCTCCCTCTAGAGTTTATGTAGAGAACAGAAACAAATCCTGCACCTGTTTCTATTTCTGAGGGTATATAGCCACACGGTGGAGGTGTCATAATAGCCACAAAACCTAGATGTCAAACAAGGAAATGGTTCCAATCGTTTATCCACCATTCATTTTTCCCATAGGGAATTTTAGAAACACTTAAAATAAGGGCTGTGTTTCGTGTAGGCTTACCCTGACATGATGTTTTGATAACCATGTAAATCTCTCCTGGACAAGGTGACTTTTATCAATATATTCAGCTCTATTTACTCTCAGATCCGAAAATGCTAATTAGCATCAAAGTAGACATCATGCAAGACTACAAATCCCTGCAAGCTCCTGTGCGTCATCTATAGCTGACACATTTGCTAACAGGTATTGTGTCAATTTAAAACTTGCACAAGACAGTTAACAGAATTGTCCATTTAAAGAAATGTAGCCAATTTATTCATTACTACATTTAGCTAAACATTAGATAGTAAATCCAGCGATTTTTACCTTTGCCTCGATTCGGCAGTCTTGTCCTGATCATCATGGCATTTGTAGTTCTTTATGATAGCCACATTAGCATATCATTTTTTGGTGGGGTAAATACAAATATATTGACAGGTCACCTTGTCCTAGAGAGGTTTACACAGTTATCAAAACATCACACCAGGGTAAGCCTACACAAAACACAGCCCTTACCTGTTTCTAAAATCCCCTATGGGAAAAATGAATGGTGAGAAAACTATTGGAACCATTTCCTTGTTTGACCGCTAGGTTTTATGGGTATTACAACTCATACTGTGGTACTCTATTCAGTGGTTCCAGCTGTCTAGGGGAGGTGCTGTTTATAATTTTTTAAAGGAACTCTGTCTGTCTTCAAACTTACTCTTGACAGTTTTAGTAGAAAACACAAGGTGCAATTTCGAAATGGGATAGTGCATCATCAGTTCCTCGCCATGTAAGTCATTGCATACCTTAGAGAGCTATTCCTAACTTGTCAGAAATGTCCAGATCGACTAGCCCATGTCAGCTAACATTTTTATATTTAGGTTTTTTAGCACATATTGTAATTTCTTTCACTCAAATATCACATGAATACATATTAGACATGGCAAAATGTATAGAATTGCAATAAAATGTGCTTTAAAACAGCAAAGCTCTTTGCACCCCATGACAAAATGTGTAGAATTGCAGGAAATAAGCTTTAAACCTGCAAAATTATCTCCACCAAGAGGGGTGTGAACAGTTTGTGTCATGAACAGTGCTTGTGCCCATAGAAATAGACGTGGCACGTGCAGGGGGGGCGCGGGATGTTCCCCAATGCTAGAAGTTGCCGCCCCCGAGTGAAAACGTTTAGGAAACCCTGCTCTATATCATGTGTCACTCAGTATTGCATGAACGTAATTTCAAGTATTGAAGGTAATGTAAGTAATTCAAAGCTATTGCCAACTCACATTTGACTATGACACCACCCTGGAACAGTCAGGCAGCTTAAAAATGTATACACTACCGGTCAATTTTTTTTACTATTTTCCACATTGTAGAATAATAGTGAAGACATCAAAACTATGAAATAATACATATGGAATCATATAGTAACCAAAAAAGTGTCAAACAAATCAAAACATATTTTATATTTGAGATTATTCAAATAGCCACCCTTTGCCTTGATGACAGCTTCGAACACTCTTGGCATTCTCTCAACCAGCTTCATGAGGTAGTCACCTGGAATGCATTTCAATTAACAGGTGTGCCTTCTTAAAAGTTAATTTGTGGAATTTCTTCCCTTCTTAATGCATTTGAGCCAATTAGTTGTGTTGTGACAAGGTAGGGGGGGGGGGGGGGGTATACAGAAGATAGCCCTATTTGGTAAAAGACCAAATCCATATTATGGCAAGAACAGCTCAAAGAGAAACGACAGTCCATCATTACTTTAAGACATGAAGGTCAGTCAATACGGAACATTTCAAGAACTTAAAAAGTTTATTCAAGTGCAGTCACAAAAACCATCAAGCGCTACGATGAAACTGGATCTCATGAGGACCGCCACAGGAATGGAAGACCCAGAGTTACCTCTGCTGCAGAGGATAAGTTCATTAGTTACCAGCCTCAGAAATTGTTGCCCAAATAAATGCCTCACAGAGTTCAAGTAACAGACACATCTCAACATCAACTGTTCAGAGGAGACTGTGTGAATCAGGCCTTCATGGTTGAATTGCTGCAAAGAACCCACTACTAAAGGACACCAATAAGAAGAGAGCAATGGACATTAGACCGGTGGAAATTTGTCCTTTGGTCTGGGGTCCAAATTGGAGATTTTTGGTTCCAACCGCTGTGTCTTTGTGAGACGCGGTGTGGGTGAATGGATGATCTCCGCATGTGTATTTCCCACCGTAAAGCATGGAGGTATTATGGTGTGGGGGTGCTTTTGCTGGTGACACTGTCTGTGATTTATTTAGAATTCAAGGCGCACTTAACCAGCATGGCTACCACAGCATTCTGCAGCGATACGCCATCCCATCTGGTTTGGGCTTAGTGGGACTATCATTTCTTTTTCAACAGGACAATGACCCAACACACCTCCAGGCTGTGTAAGGGCTATTTTACCAAGAAGGAGAGTGATGCATCAGATGACCTGGCCTCCACAATCCCCCGACCTCAACCAAATTGAGATGGTTTGGGTTGAGTCGGACCGCAGAGTGAAGGAAAAGCAGCCAACAAGTGCTCAGCATATGTGGGAACTCCTTCAAAACTGTTGGAAAAGCATTCCAGGTGAAGCATGTTGAGAGAACGCCAAGAGCGTGCAAAGCTGTCATCAAGGCAAAGTGTGGCTATTTGAAGAATCTCAAATATAAAATCTATTTTGATTTGTTTAGCACTTTTTTGGTTACTACATGATTCCATATGTGTTATTTCATAGTTTGGATGTCTTCATTATTATTCTACAATGTGGAAAATAGTAAAAATAAAGAAAAACCATTGAATGACTAAGTGTTCTAAAACTTTTGACCGGTAGTGTAGTATACCAATATACCAGTGTTTACCCTATTACCCAAATTATTTTAATTGCAGTGGAAAACTTCAAGAAATTAAAACAACCGGACATGTTTTAGAGGGAATAATTTATTTCAATAATTATATAATTTCCACATAACTAATGACATGATTCGATAAAACCAGACCATGTTTCTACAGTACGTATATTCTCCTGTACCTCAGTGCAGAGGGGGAATGAACATGGATCCCTCCCTTCCGGTCTCTCTTTCTCTTAAATATACATGGGAGGAACAACCCTGGGCCTGGAGAAGAGGAGCTGCTTTAGGAACATAAATATAGAAAACAGAGCTGTGTGCTGCAGCCAGGGCGGTGAGGTGTGAGTTGAGAGGGGGCCCCGGAGATGATGTTAGGGGGTTGGAGTGTAGTTGGGTTTTTTCCTTTTTACTCAGTGAGCCCCAGCTTCTTCTTGAGGGACTCTGGCATCTCAGGGGGAGGGGGACGGGGCAGGCGGAAGTAGACCTTCACGGAGTCGTAGATGAACCACTGCAGGGCGGTCAGGGTACCGATCATGATGATACGGGCAACCAGGCCCTTCCACACACCTTAAAAGGGGGAGAGAATGGGAGAAGGAATGTTTAGCTGAGGTGTTGGAAGTGTATCAATAAATTACATCTGCTTTTATGTTTCTTTGAGTGGGCCAAACACCCAATGTTGGGCAGTCATATAATGCAAGATTTAAAAGACCATACTCAGTAGACTGACTGTTACAGGACCCTATCCAAAGGGAGTAAAACAAGTGTTATCCACCCCCCAGCCTGGCTGCAATGGTGGAACTGAGGGTTGCCAGTGCAGCAGTGGTGCTGGGGGACAGGTAGACTGCTCGCACACACCAACGACTCAAGCACCTCCAACTGCACAGCCAGTAAGACAAGCCCTATGGTTGTCCACTCACCTTTAGGTCCGAGCTTCTTGAGCACTTGGGCGGCGGTGCTGCCACTCTCCTTGTTCAGTACAGACACCACTGAGTCCGCTGGGTGGGACACGATAGCACAGAACACACCAGCTGCAGGGGACAGACAAATCATCAGCACACACTCTTATATAGGTCCATTATATCCAATCAAACAGAAGCCTGGGTGATCTTTGTTCGTCACCAAATGGAAAAAGGAGGGACAACTACCGTTGCAAAACATGAATACGACACAGGTTTCTCTGGGTAGAAGTTGCCATTGGGCACAGATCTAGGATCATATTACGCTTCCCCCAATCCTAACCTTAGTTATTACAAGGACAACACAATCCTGACTCTAGGTGAGCTCCTAAACCTAGGGCCACCTTCATCCTATTTCCTGTGGTACTACTACTCACCGATGTAGCCGGCCGTGAAGGTGACGATCAGCTGCTCGCCCTTGGTGCACTCAGCGCGGGGTTTGGGCACCACGTGTTTGTAGAGCAGCTCCACGGTCCTCTCAAAGCAGGCAAACTTCATCATGGTATAGGGGATCTGCCTCATCCACAGGGGAACCACACCCTTGTAGAACCTGAGAGAAAGGAGGGGGTGGGGAGAGAGAAGGAAGAGTGTCAGTTCCATACAGATCAGAGTTCTCGTCTCTCTGATCAGAAACCATAGGTGAAAGCAATACGGTGGTTACTAACAAGGCACTGACTTTCCCCAGTCATTTTTCCCCACACAAGAGTGTAAAGGAGATGAGAACAAACTATGGTAGACTGAGGGTTGCCAGGGCAGCTGGGGTGCTGGGAGGCAGGTAGACTGCTCTCACACGCCAATGACTCAAGCACCTCCAACTGTACAGCCAAAAAGCTGCTGAGGGCCTCCAAGCTGGAGCTGCAGCACTCAAGAGACAACAGCCCCAGCACAGGAGTGCCCTCCAGAGGCACTCAGGATCTAAGGAGCGTGTTTGTTTGGTAACCTCACAAATCAGCTATGGGGAGCAATAATTACTTTTGCAGGCTTATGTTCCATACCAGCCAAGAAACACCCAATTAATCTAATCAAGGCTACAAGTTGACGCAAATTTGTTCACCTAGTGTAGGAACAAAAGCATACACACCTGGTAGCTGTCGATGAGAAGGGTTGAATACTTTTACAGGTTATACAGCCTCCAAAACAAATACAAACCAAAACAAATACAATATCTACTCACGCCCATACTCCCTCCTCTGCGAACATCTTGGGAGCACACTGTCTGAGGTTGTTGGCGTAGCCAGGGCAGGTCTGGATACGCACTTTGCACGCCTCCATGGGGGCCAGGGCAATGTCAGCGAAGAACTCTGCACTGGCAGACGCAGCCAGGTACAGGGATGTCCTCCACAGGTATGTGTTCTCCTGTTAGATGAGAGGGGGCAAGGTCAGTTGTAGTCCTGTGTGGGCTAGCAACACCAATGTCATGGGTTCAAAGTCACACACGGATTAAAGCGCCTGCTAATTAGCATGCAATTTACAATTTTTGGTGGGCGAAGTGTCCCTTTAACACACTGTAAACCAGGGAATCCAACCTTGTTGGTTTCTACCCACATTGGTTCCTACCCCTGACTGACCTCTCCAAGCATGTCGCTGTAGAAGATCTTGAACATCTCATAGAAGCCAAACTTGCAGAGACCCTGCATGGAGTAGCCGATGAAGGTAGGGGCCCAGCCCTTAGCCAGCCCTCGGGCTCCATCCTCCTTCAATGTGAGGGAGAAGCCTTTGCCAATGCTCTTGTACTTGTCAGGGTCCACCTAAGGAAGAAAAACCAATCGATTAGTAGAGTCAAAGGAACAATGGGGGTAGCCTAGACTAGAGCCCTACGGGCTGAAATCTAGGTAATTTTATCTAAGGGTTCTAGGCCATGTTTATTTAAAAAAAATACTAGCTAGGTTTCAGGTTGTGAACTAGGGGGTTATCCAGGTGAACATTAGTACTGTTAGCTAGTGATTTACCCGATGGCTGCTAATCTACAGGAAACGTCTGCCCAATCCCAAATCGAGTTTTCCGCCCAATTTCTTCCTCATCTATTCAATTGTATAATAATTAAGGGTACATTTGGACTGCAAGGTCTTGACGGAATGTAAGGCCACAATTGTGTAACAATCCCTCTGGGACAATAACGTTTAAACTAACTTCTTAGGAGTAGATTTAGGATTGGGCACCTTTTCTTACAGGAGCTATGGAGGCCTTCACACAGCAGACAGCTACAGGGGGTACCACAAACCTGGATGCGGCACTTGACAAGGTCGAGGGGTACAACAGCTGTGTGTGTGAGGCCGCAGCTCAGGATACCCCCAAAGCCACACAGGGCATAGTACTTTGTTGAGCCAAACTCACAGCTCACATCTGCAGAGTCTGCAGCAAAAAAACACAACAATACGTGCCCAACATGCAGTCACGACACATGCAACACAGGACAATAATCACCAACAAACATGCCACCATTACATTAGAACACACCAGGGAATGAGTCAGTTCAAATTTCAAACACTTGTGAATCAGGGTTTAGGTCAATTCCTTTTCAATTCAGGAAGTAAACTGACATTCCAATGTATCTCAATGGTTCTCAATGATAATTGTTTACAATTTGAATCAGTTTACAATGTACTTCCTGAATTGAAATGGAACTGACCCCAACCCTGCTTGTGATTTTAAATTGACTAACTGATTGTGATTATATACCCATGATTTATTTCACTCATTGATCAAATAATCATAACATAGGGATAAAAATCATTGGTTAAAAAAATAAAAATAAACATTGAGAATTCTAACTTGACTCAAATGTCTAACAGCTTTTACTTAAATAAAACAATTGTGTTGAAGCATCAGCTGTATAGTTAGTTGAAATAATACATATAGCCTGCATAAATCGTTTATTCTTTATTCACTTTAAAGCTGGAAATAATTCCATTGAGGTGTAAATTACTTGGGCCTTTGGACCTACTTACAGTATAAAGCTATTGGCTACATTCTAGCAATGCATAGCTGCACTTTGATCATGTTATAAATAGCAGGGTGAACATTCTGAACACATTTTCCCATTGTCACTCCTGACCTTCCAGTGACCTACAAGTCCTTTAGCTGTGGATTGAGAAGGGGAATGGTAGCAGGCAGGGAGGTTCATTAAACAATAACACTGGTGATTGTGAATCACACACTTAACATGCGATGTGGGTCATTCTAAAACAATAAAATCAGGTGATCAAGTGGGATAAAACAGGAGGAACAACAATGACAAACACTCCACCACGACAGCACAAAACAGGGCTGCTTGATACATCCTTTCTCCCATGCAAATGAATGCATAAATATAAAAAAAACAGTGTGTTGGGTTTTAAGTGGCACCAGGCCACAGGGATAGACAGACCTGCATTCTGCATTTGACCAGATCGAGGGGCACTAGGGCTGCGTGTGTGGTGCCACAGCTGATGATGCCACCAAACCCACACAGGAGTAAATACTTCCGTGAGCCGAACTCACAGCTGTCTCCCTCTGAAGAAAGAGTCAAGCAATACTTTCAAAAAGGGGACTTGGTGTTGATGTTAGAAAAGTGGCAGTAAGTAAGAGCAAACTGCATCTTTACTAGGCTAAAGGGCAAATGCAAGTGGAGCTTAATTGTGTGTGTAGAACATTTACTCCTTGTGAGGGCAGACTGTTGTGCAACAGGCGCTGTACCAGCAGAGAAGACTAGCTGTATAACTAATCAACCAACCAGCATACAGTGTTTAGGCTATAAAAAAAGGACACTGGCCAGCAAGCTCTAAAACGAACCAAAAGCCTTACTCAAATATCGTGGTTAAATAATAGCTAATGTCACCTTTAGAACTAGGCTGGCTAATCCGTAAAACCAAAAAATATTCCATAGAAAAATGTAAAGCAACAAAGAAATGTCAGAATATGACTGAGGGGTTGTTAAAGGCCATGCTTTAGGCTTCAAAAAGGATAGCGTTTCAAGTGATCCTAAATCTTGACAAAACTTGTCAAACTTATCTGAAATGAGAACCAATGAAATGCCCCAGTCTAGGGGTCAGACGCATATCTTTAGCTGGTTGGTGTGCTAGAAAGCAATAGACATTCGCCTAACTTCTCCTTTGCCCATTTAAAATCTGGGGCCTCTCGCCTTAGTTTTAAACAGCGATTGGGGGACGGCATGAATTCAGTTCAAACACCTGCAGCATATTTCAAAGTTTACATTTGCCCTTCGATGTCCTCCATAGACTAGGCCTAGCCTGTCTTTGACATTACACATTTCAGTGGCTAGATTGCTAGGTAGTGTTAAACGTTTGACAAACACACAACTGTCACATCTATTAAATAACACATGGTGAATAAAATCGGTATCTCGTCTCATCATTGTCATTGATTCAGCTGGCTGCGTACTTGTTCGCTTGCTAGTTAGCTACTTGCACTTGTTAGCATGCAGAACCTTGATTTACCAGCGATTGCTGCGGCAGCGAGGTTGCGGCTCAGTCCATTTGCGGGAAGGCTCTGTTTGGGTTCCTCGATTTCTTGGAGGGAGAAGAGCGGGGCGTTGAAGGGATTAGCCCGGGACAACTGCGTTAGCGTGGTCGGATACATGGTGTCCAAAACCGGGCTGTAGAATGAAAGCGAATGTTAGCAAGCTATGGAAACACGATCAGACAACAGTCAGACAGCTGACAGGCTAGGAAGGGGGTTGGAATGTCACGTGGGATGTAGTTATAGTTTGACATCCAGACAACATTGAATGGAAAGGCAAACCGTATTCAATCATGTTATTGTTGGTGCTAGCAGCTATTCCTCTCTGGTTTGTTAGGTAAGTTAATTTAGCTAGCTCACACTAGTACTAGTTAGTTAGCGGCTGATTAACTTTAGCTAGCTTTCCCAAGGTGGAACGGTTGCGCAACACAAGCCAAGTTACCAAAATAAAACATTCTAAACGTCCTAAACACAGCATTACAGTAAAGACAAGCTTTCATATTCCATTCTACTCTAACAATGTAAAATCGAATTGTTACGTTAAATATGTCATAGAACTCCACTCAGTCGCTCGCTCGGTGTCTTAAAATGGCGCCTCCGCTCTACTGCAACTGGCGGCTCACAGGGGCCGAACGACCTCGCGGTAAATCAATTTGTCCTTCCCTCACGTTACCGGGAAAAGTGGGAGAGTCCTTCTGCATACTGTCCTATCAGGGACGATATACGGAATGACATTGAGTTTTAGGAGAAGTGACAGTGCCACCAACCACATGGAAGACTAAACACATTTGCTGTGCTTGTTGCTTTCTTGTGTTCAAAAACTGTTCAAATGATTTTAGCTGTATCACATGTGTATTCCTGACACTTTAGTTAATACATGATGGAGTGCAGTGTGTGCATGTGTGTGTGAGATTGAGAGGGAGTGAGGGGGAGAGAGAGAGGCAATGTAAACATATGTTTCCCATGCCAATAAATTCCTTTGAATTTAATTTAATTGAGAGGTTGAGAGAGGAGGGAGAGAGGCAGAGAGAGAGAGAGCGATACAGAGAGAGCACGTGGGAGAGAGAGAGAGAGAGGTCTGAGGTCTAAATAGATTACTATGCCCTGGCAGTCTATTCTTGTCCATGGTAGTAATCTAGGCCTGTGGAGCAGGGCAGTCTTCCATCCCTACAGGTCATCAGTGTCAGGGCAGTCTTGACTTTTGCTATGTTCACATGCTAGTCGGAACTAGGAAACGCTTATATTTCCAACTTGCTATGGTTATAGTTATACACGTGCCACAAACCAGTTAGCAAGTCAGAAATGTCAGAGTTCCGAGTAGCATGTGAACTCGGCATTACACCTTGCAGTACCTGATGTATCCATTGCAGTTTAGCTCAATATTCCTATGAGCTCTTATCAAGAGGACTTCTGAATGATTGGACCAGTTTAATAAATATCAAATCAGAGAGCAGAAACCACAGAGAATGCCTTCATGCCTATACTACAACCTATATTTAACAATCCTTTGGCAATGGGCAGTCAGTAGGTAGCTTAATCCTGCTTCTGACTTGACTGTGTGTAGGTGTCTGGCTGAAGTTCAAATTAGTGTCAGGGTCCTATATGAGTGCAATAGGTGAAACTATTCCTGGTTTCCACTCTGAGCTAATTAGAGGGTATTCAGTGGGGCCTGTATTTTATCATTGACCGGCTCAGCTCCCCCTCTGCAGCTAGAAAGTACTGCTGTAAGAAAAATACTGTAGCTATTTTGGACAGGCTGGTCCAAGGAGTGCCTCAAGGCTCCGTTCTCGAACCTCTGCTTTTCATTATCTACATGGTTCCCCTGGGCCAGATCATCCGCCACCATGGTCTCAACTTCCACTGCTATGCGGATGACACCCAGATTTACATCCACACCAAACCCACCTCTCATCTCTCTCCCCCGTCTCTGATCAACTGCCTCCAGGAAATCAAAACTGGATGACATCCAATCTACTCCAACTCAACAGTAATAAAACAGGTCATGCTGGTGGCTCCCAAGGCTCTCCTCAAGAAAGTGGGTCCATCGAGGGATGTTCCATCTGCCCATCATCTGAGATCAGAAACCTGGGTGTCATCCTGGACCCCACGCTCTCCTTTGAGCCCCACTTCAAATACATCACCAAATACGCCTTCTTCCACCATCAATTGTTACATCACGTCTGGACTAGAGGTCTTCTCGGGTCCAAAAAGGGGGACCCGGACCTGAACGGACCTGAGAAAAATCTGATCCGAACCCGAATGGACCCGACGACAACCAGACCTAGACCCGACCTGACCTTTATATGTTGGCTAGGCCTTCTATAAGTCAATAAATTCACCTTATTAGCGTAAATTAAATATGCTACAAGCTATGCAGAGCTGTGGTTACATAGAACCGAGATCCGATCACAATCAAACAGGACCCGACCCGGACCCAAGGAAAAAGTTAGAATTTCAGGTTCGGGTGGACCCGTGAATACCTCTAGTCTGGACTACTGCGGCTCCAGTACGTCCAGAACTCTGCTGCCAGGGTCCTCACACACACCAAACCCTGGGAACACATCACCCCCCACTCTGCACCACCTTCACTGGCTCCCAGTCAAATTCTGCATTACCTACAAGATCTTACTCCTCACCTACAAGGCCCTCCATAGCCTTGGCCCCTCATACCTCTCCGACCTCCTCCATACACACACACCTTCCCGCTGTCTCCGAACTACTCACCATCCATCCCTAAAACAAGAATGGGGGACCGGGCATTCAGTACCGCTGCCTCCAAATTCTGGGACTCTCTCCCCCCAAGCCACCTGCAACTCTGACTCTTTCACCACCTTCAAAAGCTGACTAAAATTCCACCTGTTCAGTCTGGCTTTCCCCTCAGCTTATCTCAGCCCTAGCTTAAGATAAGTAGCTTTTATTTATATTTGAATTTTAATTAGGGTTCACAGAGAAGCTTTATATCTTATATATAAAAAAAGTATTGACATGGTCAAATAAATCAAGCATAGATTGGTAACTTTTATATAATTTGGCACAGAAACTAGAGGACATAAATAACTCGGTCAAAAAGAATGGCACAGATTGGCCAATAGGTGGTGCTGTTATAAGCAGTCTCACGTAAACCCTCATATCTGAAGCCCCGTTTGACCTAGAGACTTGAAACTTTGTATGTAGGTGTTTTTCTTCATGCTGAACAAATTTACCTCAAGGACCCATAAGATCTGTCAGGATAGATTTTCCTACATCTTGGAAATTTGGGAAAACCTTTGAAAACTACATCAGTGTAATGGCTTTGAGAATGATTAGTTGCTGCATTCATAGTCGGCCACACTAGATGGCATCATATCACACCAGGGCTATAAGAACTGAACCGATGGACATGGGGCAATGAAATTTGGTATGTAAACCTTATGTCCCTTAGAAGCTGTGTGAATATAAAGTCACTGCAACCTTAGATGGCTGCATCAGACCAATTGGTGACACTATAGATGTTATTGGCACTAGTGGCGCCATAGGATACTAGAGCAATAACTATTGATCAAGTGGTCTTGGTCTAATGCAAATTGTTACATTTAAATTATGCAGACGCACAATGTGAAATATCGTTATTAGTATATCTGTATAATCACATATTGTTGCCTATTACAGTGAGGGAAAAAAGTATTTTATCCCCTGCTGATTTTGTATGTTTGTCCACTGACAAAGACATGATCAGTCTATAATTTGATGGTAGGTTTATTTGAACAGTGAGAGACAGAATAATAACAACAAAAATCCAGAAAAACGCATGTCAAAAATGTTATAAATTGATTTGCATTTTAATGAGGGAAATAAGTATTAAAATGCTAATCAATTCATAACATTTTTGACATCCGTTTTTCTGGATTTTTGTTGTTGTTATTCTGTCTCTCAATGTTCAAATAAACCTACCATTAAAATTATAGACTGATCATGTCTTTGTCAGTGAGCAAACGTACAAAATCAGCAGGGGATCAAATACGTTTTTCCCTCACTGTGTGGTCTAAACGTAGTGAAAAGTAGATCTATTTTGGAAAATTTGAAACTGGAAGTCCTGCCGCTTGCGCAGTCAGCATATTACAGCTGTGAGAGTGTATTGAAGTATTCTGGAACGCTAATGTGGAGTGTACCAACAGATTTAAATCATTTACACTAACAAATATTACACTAACGCTGAAAATATTTAACTAATCTTAACATCAGTCATTAGTCAAATTGACCCCAGAATTGGTATATAAACTCAATACATTAATTAATGACTTTAAGAATGATTACCTGCTGCACTCAAAAGATAACCAACCTACAGCACTAGACTAAACTTCACTTGCGTCCTCCTTGTGGTATTGAGAGATAAACTTGGTAATGCTTTCACTGATTGCACATAAAGGAAGATTGTTTCTACGTGATAGTGCTTGCTTTGTTATCCAACTGATCTTGTTTTCTTTCTTTAATGCTGTGAACCCCGTTCATTGCTGCTCGCAGCTATAGTCATATTATCCTTGTTTTGTTTTACCCTCTTTGCTGTACAGGGTCCTTGGGTTTTAAATCCCATGCATTATTATCGTTTCAAGTTTAGTAACAGCAACAAAAGTCTGATCCACAATAGACAAATTATCCTTACATATTACAATATCAACAGTTTTATTGAGAGGACATGCCATTATTTATTACAATGAATACATACATTATTAATTCGGCTACATAGACCATTTCAATAAAATTGAAGACAAAAACAAAAAAACTGGGTGGGGGCATACAGAGCATAGTTACAA